CCCCCCCCCCCAACCCAAATGTTCAAGCTTCGTCATTGCTTGCCTCACAAAGATGGTTCTTTCGTGCTTGGATAAACCATCTCCGCATACTCACTGATCTAACATGATCGCCAGAGCCTGCTCCCGTGGCACGTTCCCTGGGATAGTTTTAACGGTTTTGTTACCTAATTGCAACTAGGAATCTAGTCGGGAACCTGCAAACGATGTTCACTTCAGATCCATGATCCATATCCAAAACTAAGACCTGATGACCGGATTCTGAATTTGCATCAACATCCATATTCTCTAAGTTGTCGACTAAGTATTTGAGGATATATGTTCGACTAGAGAATACCCTCAATCATTTTGAGATTTTAAAAATCATTGCTTTAGAATGCAACCTGTTTAGTAAGCTTTTAGTTATCAATAATTGCTTCAACTTTAACCACAAAGACACCGCTAAAGTTTCTTTCAGTAAATCCTACAAAACAACATTAGACAAGTGCAAACTAAATTGGGATAAAACTTCTAAAAATTTCATCTCAGGACCATAAATCGAGCCCAAAAGCACCTTGTGTAAATCCATTTGTATCAATACATCTCACATATTCACTTACCACAAAAGGAAAATAGTGTTTTGATCCAACATCGGAACATCATATTTCATAGTAGACATCATTAATCACCTAATAAAATAATACCAATAAAATAATACTAACCGTGGATCCTCAGATATCAATTTTAGTAAATGTGGATGAAAATGACTATACTAAGTTATCATCTGATCAATTTAGACGACTGAAGTCAAACCTAGGAGAAAGTCAACACCCAAGGATCTAAATAGTTTATAATAATATTAGTTCAACACAAAATAGAATTATATATCAATAGAACAATGAGTAAAAAAAGAGTATAAAGATTTGCACGAAAAGCTCAAAAAAGGAGAAATCACCAGCAAGGGAAGTCAATAATCAATCCATTATAAACTTGTACTATACAGTTTAAAATCCTTTTAATTGTGTCTCGTGCTATACATCACTAGATAAGAAAAAAACTACACTACTAGGGCAATGTGTTATGGCCTCGCCGCTTGTTAGGGTGCTGATTTGGCACTGCAGCCTGAACGAGACCACCACGCGGCCCCTAGAAGGCCTTGGTAGGCGGCCCCGCCAGATGAAGATCTCGTCCTGGTGAAGACACCATTGCCCTTCCCCTCTTCTCATACGACCGTTTTCTTCTTTCCTTGTGATCCCCCGTCTAATTAAGAAGGTGTTTGAGATTTAATTTAAAAACAACTTATTGACTTATTGGTTTTTTGAAAAATCAACAAGTCAAAAAAGTTTTTGGCAATATAAAATGACTTAAATTAACTTCTCATTATCCCCTTCAAAAATGAGATTTCATTAAGTTATGATTTCTATCTTTTCAAAACTCATTTTTAGATTGTAAAAGGCAAATACCCATTAAAACATATAATATCATTGTCCCATATTTATTGTCCACTTTTGAGTCTTTATTCTTTAACTTTGATCGTAAATATTTTTATTTGTATTATAAATTATTTGATTAAACTTATAATAATGAAAAGACATTTAAAAGACAATCCAATCATATATTTTGCATCAACTATTATATATCAAAAACAAAAATATTTAAAGTCAAAAGTAGACAATAAATATGGGACGGATGAAGTATAAGCTAAGTCGTTGTTTGATGAGAGTTCTAATCGGGTCCAAAGCTAGGACTCGGTCCACATTTTCCGATCATCATGTTTAATTTGCTTCGAGACCTCCTGACTCGGTCCTAATTTTTGACCAAGCCCATCATTTTTCTCCTGATCCGGTCTGATAAAAAAAGCTTCGGACTGAGTTTTACTCTTCAGTGTCAGAGGTTGGTATCCATTTTTGCTTCTGATTTGGTCCCAACCTCTAAACCAATCAGCTTCTAACTCAGTCCGTTCTAATCGAATCAGCATCTATCATGCTTTATCAAATAACATTAAAGACAAACACTTTTAAAAAAACAACTTATTGACTTATTGATTTTTCCCATCACAAAACCTAATCCAAACATTAAAAAAAAAAAAAAAAAAAAAAAAAAAAAAAAAAAAAAAAAAAAAAAA